TGCTGCGACAGCGCGAGGGAGGGGGTGCCAGCTGGGCTGCGGGGGAGGGGCCCTCGTGAGAGGAGCGCTCTAGAGCCCTATCTGCAATCTCTCCGAAATCTCCGCCTGTATTAGTTTTGTTATGGCTGTTACGTAATGTGCCCGGACCGGTAGTTGGGCCAGATTGTTTGTTTTTTCGGGGCACAATGAGAAAGAATCGATTATACCTCGATGATAACCTGGTCCACGGGCTCGCCACCAGCTGACCCGCTTCTGGAGAGGCAGCATCTCATCCCAGCTCGCTCCAGCATCCCGCTCCAGCTGATGCACGGGGAGGGGGGGGGGCGGCCCAGATATCAGAGGTCGGTACGGCGGGTTGGGCCTCCCCCGCTTCAGAGGGGATGGGGAATTACTGCAGCACTGGGCGTCGTAGGGAGCGCAAGTCACTCTCGCTTTGAGGGTTGAGACTGCAAAGCGTGCACATCAGTTTGTTATGAACTGTTTTTGTACAAAGCTTGTAAACATGTGCTATATTGCGTATTATTTTACTCGCAATTACGAACAAATTTGGTAAATTTAGATGGTACAAGGGTGTATTTTATTTTTGAGGTTCGGATTCGTTTTGTTTCTTAAGGCACCTCAAACCTGACTTATTTGGGCTTTACTTGGTGGGCGGACTTGGCCTGGCAATCGTCCATTGCGTTTCGCCGCTTGGCCTGACCGGGAACTAGGAAGCAGTGGCGGAGGAGGAGGACAGGAATTGGAGTGGCGGAGGTCGCTGAGCTGTGGTCCCGCCGCCGGCTGTCGCGAGGCTATGGGAGAGGGGGGCAATGGCCGTACAGAGCTGCCGTGGGCCCGGTGCGCGTGAGGCGGGCTAGCCGTGGGCCGCGTGGCAGCAGCGCTCCGCAAACCAACGCGTGGTTGGGCGTCTTACAAATTTAGATTTGGAAAAAAAAAATGAGAAAAAAAAGTCTTGCGTTGGAAAAAAATGTCAATTTCTCTTTCCTTAGATATAGCTGTTTTGAAACTATGTTTAGGACGCAACAAACCAGCTGTACAATTTTGGATGAAAGTACATTTTAAACTACCACGCGTAATTATTCTCAATTCCAAAAAAATCTAAATACTTACAACTAATTGAAGCATTTTTTTCCTTTTTTTCTTCAGAACCGCGCCCTAATTCACTGTCCGCCATGGCAATCCAGTGCGACGTTAGCTTTCCGAAGGTTTCAACTGCAACTTCAGATACTCTCGCCCCACAGAGATCACTCACTGAAGAAATAAGGCCTTTCAAGTGTACCGTGTGCAACAAGAAATTTCTCTCGAGTGATACGCTTTATAACCATCTGCTAGCCCACATAAAAGAACAGCTCTTGGAGTGTCACGTGTGTTTCAAGAAATCGGCAAGCAAATGGAGGCTGCGTACTCATCTTAAAACTCACACAGGAGAAAAAGCGTTTGAGTGTACTTTGTGCCACAAACGATTCACTCAGCAAGGTGGTTTAAATTCTCACCTCAAAATCCACATAAATGTCAAACCCTTTAAATGTAGTCAGTGCAGCAAATGTTTTTACTCAAATCGTGATCTGCGTAGACATCTCCTAATCCACTCTGGAATAAAGCCTTTTGAGTGCCCGGTGTGTCTAAAGAAGTTTTTGTTAAAAGACCACCTGCGTGTCCACTTCCGAACCCATACAGGAGAGAAGCCGTTTGAGTGCACTGTATGCAACAAGCGATTTGTGATTACTAGTCACCTGCGTGCTCATGAACGAACGCACACTAACGAAAAGCCTTTTGAGTGTGCTGTGTGTCTCAAGAAATTTAAATCAAGTGTGGCGCTGCGTTGTCATCTCCAGGTTCACTCAGGAGAAAAGCCTGTGCCTGTCGAGTGCACTGTATGCGGAAAATACATATCATCAAAGCACGTGCTACGATCACACCTCAAAACTCACTCAGAAAAAAAATCTTACGAGTGTACGGTGTGCCACCGGAAACTTTCGAGCACTTCATCATTGCAAATTCATCTCCGAACTCACACAGGTGAAAAGCCGTATG